AACAGAACAGTAATTCACAATAAAAACAAAGATTTGGAAAAAACCCAAACCAAGAAACCTTTTTGTGTGATAGAATTATTTGAAAGTGAAATGTATTTTTCTTTCTAGTCTGAACACATTTTAAAAGAAGAACTTCTGAAAAAGCTTCGGGTCACAGTGGAGTGTGTGCACCTTTCATGGTTGAGCATGGTCAGAGGTGTGCTCTGCTGCACCAGTAACAGTAATGTCCCAGTGTACTTACACCCTTATGTTGTGGAGATTATCATGTCAGCAGTCAAACAAAGTCAAAACAACATCTTTGTTAATATCACATCGTGACTACACAGAAGGTGTAGTGTGAGCAGCAGCGGCAGCTTCAGTGCTCCATCTGTGTCTGCACAGGAAGCATTCAGGCACAGTACTGAGTGCAGGTGGTCTGTGTTTTGGCAGTGCTCAGAGCCTAGTCTACAAACCCCTGATCAAACAGAAGTGTGTGTGCATATGTGTGAACATGTATATGAGGCAGGAAGGGATTTGTAAAAACAGCTGATGTACAAACAGACTGCAAAGTGAAATGGACTTTATGTCACATCAACAATATTTGAACTCCCTCTGATTGCCTATATATTCCCATAATAAGCCATCATTCTGACACAGCACATCTCAGTTTACTGGTAAACTGAGATGCCTGCCTATGCAGGGTCCTGCTGCTTCATCCCGCACTCACTTTACAAAAGCTATTTGTGGAAGGCTGATGTATTGCACGCCTGCTTTGGGCTGCCAGATGGTCCTGCGTAAGAACTTTGAATTATTCAGCCATCCTAGAGCAGACTGAAGCTGTCATGTGTAAGGCAACTTGGCTGGCCTCTTCCTGTATCAAGGAACACCAGCGGATGAACACCTACTGCCAAAATGTTACCAAATTATGCAACTCCACATTGAATTTTCACTAATGCAAAATTTAGGCCTGGCTCACATTCTACAGCAGCATTGGAAGTTTTTAAAAACTTTTTTTCCCCGCTCAGATATAGTGTGTTATGCTTTCACTGACAGGGGTGAAAACCATAAATTATTCACCTGATCCAGTTTTTATGTGTGACTGCTGAGCTTACAGCGGCATTGGCACATCTCAAAACAAGCAGCTAAGCTTTTTAATAGACACACAGTATCTGTTTGAGCTGTTTTCTAATGCACCACATTATACAATTATGGAAATGACTGAAGTTGGACAAGAACATGTAAAAAGTCATAAATGAAAACATTGTTTTAAATTTTCTGAAAGACATTATGTGGATCCTTAAATGTTTAATGAGCTACAATTGCCACACAGGCCATTAATGATATCTAAAACCAGCTGCACTTTGTGACATATGCAACTGCTATGGAACAGCAAATATGCTTTATATGCTTTGGAATGTGCGTGTATGTGTGTGTGTGTGTGGGGGGTCTAATCCTTTCAAAACAAGATGAAGAAATCCACTTCACATGGAGGACGCTGCGTGTATACCGGAGTGTGCATGGTGTAATCACCCTGAGACCAGCCCATTAATCCAGCTGGGGGTTGGCACTTTGATCTCTGGTTGAGTGGCTCTACAATGATGCTCTCCAGCTCCCATCCTCTGCTAAGAATCGCTCAGAATTAGAAAGGAGGCTTCTCATGTGATAAGGGTTAACAGTGCATCTTCAGTCAAGAGGTCTGTCTCGCTTGTACACACAGAGGAGTGAGGCTCATTCCAAATGAGTGATCTGCACCCCCACCCTCTGTGACTGTCTCCTGGACTTTCTGACTGGCAGGCCCCACACTGTCAGGATTGGCAATAGGATTTCAGCCAGCATTATTTACGAACATTGGCACCCCACAGGGATGTGTCCTCAGTCTCATCCTCTACACCCTGTTCACCCATGACTGTGTCGCCTCCCACAAGTGAGTAAGTAAGATGGCGCCGACAGCGATGGCAGCCTTGGTTACTTGCGCTCTCTTGTGTTTATTGTTTTTCTTTGTTTTCTCGGTCTTTTGCAACTCATCCCAGATTACTTTTACCAGAGAAGAACTGTTAAATATCGGACAACTCACACCGAACTACCTTTCTCCGATTTTTGTGAACGAAGAATGCTGTCTGGACATTCTGATCGGAGGCGCAGCGGTAATATACGGGACCTGGAAAAAACGCTGCCGTGGCAAGCGAGCGGGCGCCTTTGTGAGTCTTCGCCAGAGAGGGACCTGGACTCCAGTCCCGTCCATCCACCTAGCAAATCTCCGCTCCCTGGTCAACAAGATGGATGAAATTCTTCTCATCAACAGGACCAACTCTGACTTTGCACGCTCTGCTGCTTTGTGCTTCATGGAGACCTGGCTGAGCGACCCGATTGTGGCCAGCACAATACAAGTACTGGGCTTCCAGGTGTACAGAGTGGATCACGTAATGGAGCTGTCCGGGAAAACGAGAGGACATGGAATCTGCTTCTACATAAACGAAAGTTGGTGCACAGATGTCACAGTGCTAAAGAGGACATGTAACACAGACTTAGAGACTCTTTTTATCAACTGCAAACCCTTCTATTCTTCTCGTGAATTTTCGAGCTTCATACTGGTGGGTGCCTATTTAAAGCCGCAGGCCTACACTAGCGCACTACAGCTCCTGTCAGAACAGATAACTAGCGTGGAGGTAGAACATCCTGACTCTCCACTTATTGTTCTAGGGGACTTTAATAGAGCAAATCACTCCCATGAACTGCCAAACAATAAATAAAACAACAATAAAAGATGCCTATTGCTCTGTCCCCCCGCACAGCTCTCAGACTCTCTGACCACTGTATGGTCCATCTTATTCCAACCTACAGGCAGAAACTTAAAGCTGCGAAACCTGTGGTCAAAACAATGAAGAGCTGG